TAAATAAATAAATAAATAAATAAATAAATTACAACGACAGCAAAACTACAGAATTGCGGGGGAAAACAAAGCAAAAACACTAGATACAGGTAAAATAGAGCGACTGTAGATTTTCTCAGCCTAGCAGCATTTGCTATTTGGCCATTCTGTACTGCATATTGTACTTGCAGAGCTTGGATTTGATTTCTGTGGCGCCGAACGGCAAAATAAATCTTAAAATAAAACATCGCTGAGAATACGAGGCAAACTACTCCAATAATGGAGAACATTATGTAAGAAATATTCCTGGAGACCCGCAAGTAAACTAACGAAAGAAATGCACTGAACACCCATATTGAGATTACCGCAGCAACAACACGCTTGTGAGTCACAAGTTCCTGGTATCTGAGATGCAGGTGCACAGCAAGGAATCTGTCCCCGCTTAGAGCCATGACCCCCAAAAATGAAGCTGCAGAAAATAAATACAATGTGAAGCGAAATACGGTTGAAGCAGCTGCATCGGGCGAGTTGTCTCGCTGCAACCACTTAACGAGTGTTCCAACGTAGTAAGGCTCGCCAAGTAAACCAACACCGAGATCGGAAACAGCAAGACTCAGAAGGAATGTTTTAAGAGGTTGTGGCAACGATGAAGTTCTTCGTAGCGCCTGGATTGTCATGCCGTTAAAGACAATGGCGGTAATGGTTAGGAAAGCGTTGAAGACACAGTTAACAATATATACCATGATCTTAGGTTTTCATATTTCGTATTCGTGGGCTCGTAGAGCAGCAATTCGCCAAAGCCGTGAGTATTTTCCATAATCTCGTACGTTTTCAATGTTAATGATGCTTTTCTAGGGTTAACTAACTCCTGTCGGCTCTCAGATTATCTGACGCACGTTAAAAGTAACAAATGCGAAAACATATTCCGGTACATTTCTACAACTTGATCATAACTGGTCATAACTCTATTGAAGAAGTATTTGCCGGCAAATGTTTAGAAGGCTTCGTCCCTGGAAAATTTTCACTCAAGAGCCGTTTGAAATATGACGATGAAGAACGTGCACGTCTACTTAACACGTCATGCAGTTAACTGAGTTAAACATAGTTTTCATACAGTCGTCATTAGAAGACGAGATATTTTAAGTTTCATATTCTTTGTCTCCACTTATAACAGATGTCTCACATTTCATCTATAAATTAGAGCTTGGTTTAATAAATGTTTCCTGACAAATCTAACAATTATATTAGAATACATCGTTAATATGTTGCCTGCTTTTGTTCTTCACGTCTCGGGCAAGTGTAAAATTCAGTCCATATCTGTGTGCAAATGCACCGCTGATTTTTACTAATGATTAATCACTTGCAAACCTTTGTCATAAATTTTATCGGACCCTTCATCTTATTCTTTTCAGAGCAAATGAGAATACGAGTTAGGTAAATGTAAACTGAGTTCAAAGGGGTTCAATAAACAAATTCTAGAGTTTCACAGGTGTTTGTAGGCGGAGATGTTGGCTCAGTGCGCAACCGCTATAAAGTTCTTAGAAAAGAACTTAAAGAGAAAGACCAATATTGTCCTAGGATGATTTTGCTTTAGTTGTATGTAAATGGGGCCTAACAGAAGCCTGCCTGTTGATATATTCAAACGCTAAACTGACTTATTAGCCAGTTTACAGTTTACAGACTTCACAGTTGGTGCATTTGGTTCAGTCCAAGCGAAAAGGTTGGTGTTCAGTCGAAGCCTTTTTGAAGTCAAAATTTCCAGCTGACCCGGACGGAAAGAATGGCTGAGCTGGGCCTGAGGAATCGAAATCTGATGCCCAAAATAAACTTTCGTCAAATTTAACTTTTAAACTATCCCAACCAGGAATGACAATGATTCCTTACCCGGCAAACGGGGTTGAGCCAAAACGAGTCTATTTACCCCCTGAGGGGAACGGCAGTTTTTCCTAAATCAGCAAAATACTCTTTGTACAATATACCATTTGAAAGCCACTGATCAGCTTATTTGATATGTATACCCTTAGACTATAGCTTATTTTGCAGGTCTTAGTGCATAGCTTGATCAGTGTGAAATTGGAAACTTGTTGGGGTGGTCAACCATGTCTTCGATAGGAGGGGGTCACAAATTTTTTTACTTTAAAGAGAAGATCTTTACACGACAATTTTTGTGACAAAAATTCATAGAAATCTCTCAAACTTCACAAAGTTATGACTAAGTGTGCCAGTTGACAGTCTTAGTAAAGGGTTAAATATGAATGTCAAATAGTTTACTCCACCTTTTTCGTGATCTTTGTCAATTTCCTCAGCAACAACGCAGTGGAACAAAGGATTTTTACCAAATCCGTCACGAAGAAGCTCTAGAACGAATCACACGCATGTCAGATCCAACACAATTAAAACCTACATTTTTTGGTGGACACAAAATCGTTTATCAAGACGTGAATTTTGTATAGCACATCGTCTTTAGCCGAAAAGGAATGAGAACTGAATTTTTGCGATATGCTTATCCTTATCACATGTCCAGAGAAACTGGGTGATGCATGAAACTTTTGACACTATAATACGTTTCGGGGATGTCTGTAAACAGATAAACAAGTTAGCAAATTGACGTCAGTTTTTCAAGGCTGGTTTTCACTAGAGCATAAGCACAAGCATAAGCATAAGCACAAGTGAAAACAGCCGCGACATAAACATAAGCCTAAGCAGAAACATAAGAAGAACGAACCCACTTATTTGTCTTGTGCAGTTTTCACTAGTGACGCGCTCGACATAAGCATGAGCATCATAAGCACAAGAAAAACGGAACTCTGCCCATTGTCAAAGTAGCTGTACTTTGACAATGTTATGACAAAATTAATTTAGTAAATGGTTTGAACCCGGGAGTATCAGTAGTTCGTATAGTGCGATCGTCCGGGTGTGTGTAGTTCTGAAAAGAACTGTTGTTGGTGACTGACGTTTCGACAACCTGAGCGGAAGTCATCTTCAGAGTCAAGTGAATAGTGTTTGTCAGTCGATGNTGTCAATTTCCTCAGCAACAACGCAGTGGAACAAAGGATTTTTACCAAATCCGTCACGAAGAAGCTCTAGAACGAATCACACGCATGTCAGACCCAACACAATTAAAACCTACATTTTTTGGTGGACACAAAATCGTTTATCAAGACGTGGATTTTGTATAGCACATCGTCTTTAGCCGAAAAGGAATGAGAACTGAATTTTTGCCATATGCTTATTCTTATCACATGTCCAGAGAAACTGGGTGACGCATGAAACTTTTGACACTATAATACGTTTCGGGGATGTCTGTAAACAGATGAACAAGTTAGCAAATTGACGTCAGTTTTTGAAGGCTGGTTTTCACTAGAGCATAAGCACAAGCATAAGCATAAGCACAAGTGAAAACAGCCGCGACACAAACATAAGCATAAGCAGAAACATAAGCAGAACGAACCCACTTATTTGTCTTGTGCAGTTTTCACTAGTGACGTGCTCGACATAAGCATGAGCATCATAAGCACAAGAAAAACGGAACTCTGCCCATTGTCAAAGTAGCTGTACTTTGACAATGTTATGACAAAATTAATTTAGTAAATGGTTTGAACCCGGGAGTATCAGTAGTTCGTATAGTGCGATCGTCCGGGTG